CAGGCAGAAAAGGATCTTGGAGTGATTATTGATGCCAAAATGAACATGGGCCAACAGTGTGGGAACGGGGTCAGGAAGGCCAACTGCACCTTGTCATGCATCCACAGATGCATCTCGAGCAGGTCCAAGGAGGTGATCCTCCCCCTCTACGCGACACTGGTCAGGCCGCAGTTGGAGTACTGCATCCAGTTCTGGGCGCCGCACTTCAGGAGGGATGTGGACAGCATTGAAAGGGTTCAGAGGAGGGCCACCCGCATGGTCAGGGGGCAGCAGGGCAGGCCCTACAAGGAGAGGCTAAGGGACCTGAACCTGTTCAGCCTCCACAAGAGAAGGCTGAGGGGGGATCTAGTGGCCTGTTACAAACTAGTCAGAGGGGACCAGCAGGCATTAGGGGAGTCCCTGCTTCCCCGAGCACTACCAGGAATGACTAGAAATAATGGTCACAAGCTGGCAGAGGGTAGATTCAGACTAGATATCAAGAGACGCTACTTCACTGTCAGGGCGGCTAGGATCTGGAACCAACTTCCAAGAGAAGTGGTGCTGACTCCTACCCTGGGGGTCTTTAAGAGGAGGTTAGGCAAACATCTTGCTGGGGTTGCTTGACCATGGCAGGGGGTCAGACTTGATGACCTGCTCAGGTCCCTTCCAACCCTACCAACTATGAAACTATCTTGGACCCAGTCCTGCCAATACTGACCCTGTACTGAAGTCAGTTGCAATACTCCTGCTGAGTTCAGTACAGATGTGATTGTGTTCTACGGCTGAAACCACAGGTGAAAAAAAATGACTAACGGGCATCTTTCTAGCACACAATTGGCATGTAAGCTTGTGGATGGAAGCCAGAACATGAGTAACTGGCATGTGCCACACCTTCCGCTTAAACACGTGTCCTAATTTCCTGAATCTTATCAAAATGAGGATGGGATACATGATTCATCTTCTTCAATAGTGCCATGGAACAACTTCTCCTTCTAGTATGGAATAAAGAATACCCTCTTGTTAAAGCCACATCAGCAGCTTATCCACAGAAATCAGTTTTCAGAATAGCATGCCAGAAGGGGGAAAGTTTCCAGCTGATCTTAGAGCTGCAGTAGTCAATAAATTGTGTGTGCTCAGTATAGAAACCTTTATGAACACTGTCTAAGACAATAAAATATCTATAACGTTGTTGTTTTTTGTCCAATTTGGATGAAATTTTCAGGGATGATAGACTCTGCAGAGAGAAGGAAGTCTGCCAGGCTTCAGGAAGATCAGTGTAGGGGCTTGGGGGGAACAGCACCCCAAATTCGTGAAAGCAAAACTCATGTCATGTCTAGGTGTTACAATATAGTGGGCTGAAAACTGCAAGGGTGGTAGCTCTTACTGAGGCCAAAAAGTATGCCAAGTTTCAAGAAGATTGGTGCAGGGGTTTGGGGGAAACTGCCTCTCAAGCTGCGAACAAGCAAAACTCGTGCCATGGGTGCTTGTGGGACTGACTGTGTCTGTCTTGGGGCGGGGAGGGGAGAGACTACTGCAGGCCTGGCTGCTAATCTACTGTGTTACCAATTACCAATCAATCAATCATGATTCACTCAGGGACCAGGGACTCAGGGACCAGCTCAATACACAGGACCTAACTACTATATAATGACTTAACGAGCATCAATTAGCACCTACAAAACCAGGCTAAGGAGAGGAAAGAATAAATACAATCAACTGCCCCAAGACAGAGACAGTCTTTGCAGGAGTTTTGCCTGTCAGCAGCTAGCTGTGCAGCGCCCCAGCACCCCCCTGCACCTATCTCCTCAACAGCTGGCAGGCATCACAGCAGGGGCTACCATCCCTGCAGCTGTCACCCCACTGTGCCTTAGCGCACACAGTGTCACCCATGGCACGAGTTTTGCTTGTCCGCAGCTTGAGGTGCAGTTCCCCCCAAACCTGTGCACCTATGTCCTTGAAACTCAGCAGGCTGTGTGGCCTCAGTAAGAGCTACCACCCCTGCAGTTTTGACCCCGCTGTGGTGTAACACACAGTCCTGACATGAGTTTGGCTTTCAAGAATTTGGGGTACAGTTCCCCGCAACCCCTGCACCAATCTTCTTGAAACTTGGCAGGTTTCATGCTCTCAGCAGAGGCTATTATCCTTGCAAGTTTCATCCAAATCGGACAAAAACAACAAAGTTATAGATATTTCATTGATTCCCCATTATACTCTATGGCTGGATCTTGGAGGCGGCTCCGAAGCTTCGGAGCCGCTTCAGCCAGATCAAGGTGGAAACCCAGTCTGGAGCTCTGGATCGGATCACGGCCATCTGAAGCGGCGGGATCCAAAGCCAGATCGGATCGCTGCTGACTCACACAGGCCTAATGTGCCGGTCTAAGAATAGTACTGTGGTTTCATAATAAATTGCCTACAGGAAAGCTACATTTTTTGGTGACCACCACTTTAAGCTAATGTTCAAAGAATGCAACCATGTTGTAAAATAGGGGTGACACTCAGCAATTCTGAGAATTAGTACAAGGACGTAAAGAAATACAGTTCTTTCTGAAAAGTGCATTCAAAAACAGAAATTTACTAGCAGTGTGAACAGGGTAACGCCAAGATCAGGGTATGCGAGCAAGTTAGGGAGAGTTCTGAGGTAGCTGAAATCTGAAATAGTTAGTTTTGCACAGGGTTTAACAGGAAGGATCTAAGTAATGAACACATTAGAGGCAAGCAGGTAAATTCCTTGCAATAAAAATATGGTAGGTAGGTTTTCCCCTGCTTTTTACCTTTGGTATGTCATAGGGTGTTTCAATTTTGTTTTCATAGGATGCTTTGCAGCTGTTTTGTGTAAGAGGGGTAGGAGCAGACAATTTTGGGACCCATTGGATAAATCACCATCTATGAACACAAGGGAATGGACTCAATGGCCAAAGCAGCTTTTTCTTGGCCTTTGTTCTTATGAGCCATATATAATTAAGGCTGTAAGTTAAAATAAATCTACAAGAATTGCCAGTTGTACAGAGGTTTAAGTGAGTGTTTTAAAAGAACTAGAATAGGAACTCTCTTAAATCTCAGAAGTATTAGAAGGACAAAACTAATATAACCTTTAAAATGATGAATAAATTGCTCTGTATCTTTCAGAAGAAAGGATTTGAAAACTACTGGCCAGTAGTTTTCAAACATTAAACCATATGAAGGGACTTACTAATGATTTGAGGGAAAAGTCTAACCAACAACCCTCTTGCATTTGTTAAAAGTAAGTCCAGCCAGACACATTCAAGAGCCATATTTGATGCAGCTGCTGGTCTTGCAGATGAAGAGGAAGCTGCTGGATAAGAATATTTTAATTTCAATGAGGCAATCAATTTTGTGCCACATAAAATTAAAAATAAACTGGAAATAAGCCAACTAGATAAAATACCATAGTATGGGACAGAAGGGTTGTTAATCAACCCAGTAAAAAAGAGCAGTCATAAAAGCTTTAAGTCTTTGTTCCATTCTCCAGGTGAGCAGTACTTATAACTGTAGTCCATTACAGTCGATAGCACTATTTGCATAAGTGTAATTCAACATGAATAAAGGATTCCGAATTCAATCCAAAAAGACATCCTTATGGGGCAGAGTTAAAAAATAGGGATGCTACATCCAAAGTCATTCTGAAAGGTCTTACTACTTTATGTATTTATGATTTACGACAAGAAGAAAACATCTTCAAAGTGAGACATCTGGTCAGGTCCCACCAGGATTTGTCCCAGGCCTGGTTCTAGTCTATATTTTCCTTAATGGTTTGGATGCTAGAATACAGAGCATGCTTATAAACTTTGCTGATAACACCACATTGAGACAAGGTGGCAAGCCCTTTGGAGGACAAGAGTAGATTTCAAAATTATCTAGATTAGTTTAAAAATGATCTGAAATCAATAAAATAAAATTCAATAGAGACAAGTGCAAAGAACTACACTTAGGAAGAAAACATCAAAGGCACAAATACAAAGGGGGAGTAACTAGTTAGATAACAGTGTTTGAGAAAAGAAATGGGTTTAATGCTGTTACAATGGCAGCATATTTCATTCTGGGTGTATTCACAGAAATGTTAGGTAAGAAGCAAGAGTTAATAACTAATCTCTCCTACTCAGCTTGATTATAGTGTCCAGTTTTTGGCACCATCCTTTAAGAAATTGGAGAGAATCCAAAGGAGAAAACCAAGAACAATCAGCATTTCAGAAACTTGCAGAGAGCTTGAAACAATTGGGTTCATTTAGACTAGAAATATGAAGGCTGAGGATAGGCATGGGAACAGCCTACAAATATGTAAAAAAGTTAAAAAGAGGTTAGTAATCAATTGTTCTCTGTCTACCAAAAGCAGGACAAGAAATAATCATTTTGATTTCCAGGAAGGGAGACATTAGGTTATTTTTTTTAAAAAGCTTTCTAACTCCATAAATATAGTCAAGCACCATAACAGGTTGCCTTGGAAAGCTGTGGCACCCTCTTCTTTGGAGAGCTTAAACAAACATGCTATTGATGGTCTAGGAATACTTAAAGGAGAGGAGGTGACTAAATGAATTAGATGACCCCCCTGAGGTCCCTTCCATCACTATGTTTCCATGCTTTTTAGATTATATACTAAATACAGTTCATCATGCTCTAAATTGTGTGTTTCCTATAACATCCAAGCCATTTTAGACAATATTAAAGTAATTTAGATTTTAAAATATAATTAACTCCATATGTAAATACTGTATGAAATTAAAATATGTAATTAAAAGTAATTTAGAGTCTGTCACTTCTTTGCCCTTTTTCAGCTTGTGTTACATTATTTATTATTTCTCCAGTGCCCAGAAATGTTCTAGGAAACTCACAGAGCAGACCCAGCTTCTGGCAGGAGGCAGGAACCATCAGGGCTGGCCATGCCACTGGAATCTGAAATAAATAAAGAATGCCATTATTGTATTTTTTCCTTTCATGGCATAGAGAGTTCAGTATGAAGTATGCTTCATTATTAAATACTTATTTTCCCTTTACTTGCTTTCCAGAGTGGAAACAAGGTTCTGTGTTCCATCATCCTGGACCATCACCAGGGTCCATCAATAATAAACTATGATGATGAAAATGGCAAGACTTGTATGCACATCGCTGCTGCTGCAGGTTATAGTGATATTATCAGCGAGCTGGCTAAAATCTCAGAGTGCAACCTGCAGGCCCTTGATGTGGATGACAGGTAACCATGGAAACGTACTGAAAGTGCTGGAAAGCCCCTGTTCCCATTGTCTTAACCTGAAGCTAAGACTGTTTAACAGTCACGTTTCCTGTTACAGAGGCCACAACCTATTTCATGAAAGTGGATTGCTGAGAAGTATATATACTCAGCAACTCTGCAAATGAGGCCTTTTGTGCTTACCTTACAATAACTAATATAAATGACTACTAGGTGACTAATATAAAAGTAGGTAGAAAGCGGGGTAGAGTTGCACCATATAGAATAACGGAATCAAAGTTTCATAAGCTTTTGTGAGGAACAGCTCACTTCATCAGATGCTAGGAAGGGACATGCAGAGCATGCCTATCTTTTGATGAAGTGAGCTGCTGCTTATGGAAGCTTATGTATCTCTTATTCAGTTAGTCTGTGAGGTGCAATTCTATCCTGCCTTCTGTCTGACTTCAGGCTACCATAGCTAACTACCTCTTTCTCTAATATAAAGGTATTTTAACCTTATATTTATGGTAGGGTATACAAGACAGAGGTATATCATCATTTGATTCATTAAAATGAATTCGTCCTTCCTTCCTAAACAGCACAGCATGAGTTCACAACTGGTATGAAATCTTACCCTCGCTGAAATCAAAATTCTGACCAACTTCCATGGACCCAGCCTGTCAACTTCAGTAATGTTAAGATGTTAGAGCTTGATCTTCCAAAGTGCTGAGGATCCCCAAGTTCCATTCTTCCAAGAACCTCCCGACTTTATACCGTACATGTTAGAAGTTCTTCCTTTTTCTTCTTTAGCATCCCAATCCTGCTTCCATTGAAGTCAATAGACATTTTGCCATTGATGAGTCCAGAATCAAAGGACTGACAGTCTGATTATGGACTGATTTTTCCTACTCCCCATAAAGGGGAGATTATGCTCAGGGGCAATCAGCATGGGTTCATCAAAGGCGGGTCCTGCCTGACCAACCTGATTGCCTTTTATGACCAAGTAACTAAATCCTTGGATGATGGTGTCGCTGTGGACGTAGTCTTTCTAGACTTTAAGAAGGCCTTTGACACTGTCTCTCACCCCATCCTCATCAATAAATTAAGCGACTGTGGCATTGATGCCTGCACAGTTGGATGGGTAAAAAATTGGCTGATGGGGCACACCCAGAGAGTAGTGGTGGATGGGTTGTACTCAATCTGGCGAGATGTGAGCAGTGGGGTACCCCAGGGCTCGGTTCTCGGGCCCGCACTGTTTAACATCTTCATCAACAACTTGGACGAGGGGGTGGAAAGCACGCTGTCCAAGTTTGCAGATGACACTAAGATGTGTGGCGAGGTGGACACACTTGAAGGAAGAGAGAGGCTGCAACTAGATTTAGACAGGCTACAAAAAGTGGGCAGATGAGAATAGGATGGGGTTCAACGTAGACAAATGCAGGGTGTTGCACCTTGGGAGAAGGAATCCACAGCATACATACAGGCTGGGGAGTTCCCTTCTTGAAAGCACAGAGGATGAAAGGGATCTTGGAGTCATTATTGACTCCAAGATGAACATGAGCTGCCAATGCCAGACCGCAGCCAGCAAGGCCAGCCATACCTTGTCATGCATTCAAAGGTGCATCTCAAGCCGGTCCACAGAGGTGATATGCCCCCTCTATGCGACTTTGGTCAGGCTGCAGTTGGAGTACTGCATCCAGTACTGGGTGCCGCACTTCAAAAGGGATGTGGCCAGCCTGGAGAGGGTTCAGAGGAGGGCCACCCACTTGGTGAGAGGGCAGCAGGACAGGCCCTACAAGGAGAGACTGAAGGACCTGAACCTGTTCAGCCTCAGGAAGAGGAGGCTGAGGGGGGACCTGGTGGCTGCCTACAAGCTCATCAGGGGAGATCAGCAGCAAATAGCTAGAGCCCTTTTCTCCCCAGCACCACCTGGGGTGACAAGAAACAATGGTAATAAGCTGATGGAGAATAGGTTTAGGTTAGAGATCAGAAGGCAATATTTTACCGTTAGGGTGGCCAAAATCTGGAACCAACTGCTCAGGGAAGTGGTCCTCGCCCTACCTTGGGCAAATTCAAGAGAAGGTTGGATGATCACCTGTCTGGGGTCTTGTGAACCAAGCATTCATTCCTGCCTGTGGCTCGGGTCAGGCTAGATGATCTGTTCAGGTCCCTCCTGACCCTAGCTACTATGAGACTATGAAACTATGAAAGTATAAGTCTCATTGTCTTCAGTCTAAAGGCTTGGGCCTTTAGATAATAATAATTAAAAAATCCCTTATGCAAAAACTCTCACAGAACTTTAAATCAATGGGTTTCTATCAAATGTATCCCCAAAGATCTTTCAAATGTAATAGGAGAAAGGATACATTTCCATAGGGTTTTTTAATCATCCGAAATAATTCTATCAGAGAGATGATATTCTATTAAATTTTCTTGGCTTTCTGTAAAAGGGATGCTACCTTGGAGATGGAGGTAGCTCACAAAACCATAATAGGTTTCCATTTAATTCCATTCTCTTTTGCAGCTATCTGAAAGTTACACTGTATTCATTTACTTTCTGCTGGGGAGTCACACATGAATTGATATTTTTCAGCTGTCCTCCTATGCAGTCCTTCCTATTCAGCTTGTTTTGTGCTTTGCAGGTTGCTTTAATTAAAAGTAAATTCATAATTTTTTTGCAGGGAATGTTACACCTGTGAGGCCAAATATTAGTTTCTAGTCACTAAGCAGAAATCCTTCCCCTTTTACTGTGGCTACAAAGGTTCTTGTCTGTAGAGGATCATGGGAAAAGTCCAGGACAACTGGATTTGAGAAGTAGAATCACCCTTATATGTACCTGTTGGTCATTTTTTACTATAGAGTAGAGAGACAGTAGCATCAGGGTCTAAAGCAGTCTAATGAATGAAATAGTAAGTGCCAAGCAACAACACTAACTGCTCTGTGGCCTAAGGGAGGATTCTTTCCCCCTCATATTGATGTAAAATCCTGAACTGATCCTGGCTATCAGGACGTGGTGTCAGGATAAAAAGCATTGCCCCTTGCCCCCAGACCAGTGGTTCTCAGCCCACGGGGCTGCATTTGGCCCAGTCAGCATACTGCTGTGGCCCATGTGACATCCTGTTAAAACATTTTTTAAAGGATACACAGGAAGTAAGTTGTGTGGGTGCAGCCCACATCACGCATTGAGAGCTCCAAGTGTGGCCCACTATGGCAAGTAGGTTGCAAACTACTGCCCTAGACTGGGGGTGGGGGGGCTAGAAAGATTTTTTTCAGATTCCTCACTGGAAATTTTAGGCACTTCTTCCACCAGTGCTAGCAATTGATTAAGATGGTCAGTGCAGATGCTGAGTAAGCAATGCTGGAGCACACCTCAGGTGATCATTAATGTATTCCACTTTCTTTTCCTTAGGACACCTCTGCATTGGGCTGCAGCAGCAGGGAAAGCAGACTGCGTAAAGACACTGCTACAGTTGGGGATAGATAGCAACCCCCGGGACATCAATGAAAACACTCCTCTGACATACGCAATGTACTGCGGGCACACATCGTGCATCAAGCTGCTCTCTCAGGAGTACAGGTAAAGGAACAATCATAATGCACCTCTTGCTTTTGCCTACAGGTCACATGCTAGAACTGAACATCACTAGAAAGACATAGTGACATTTCTTACTCTGCATGTTCTGGAGGGTACAAAAGCTTCCTGACTGCAGGAATTAATCTGCAGTTCCTATACAATGCTTGGTTCAAATTCTTCTCTAAAACACCAATGCTAAAAGTATCCATTTATTGAATGGTTCATTGCTGCAGTTAGATAGCATCTGTCCAATCAGTCTTTCTAACAAATAACACATAGTTGTAAAACAATAGAGCACTGTCACATTTATGGACAAAATTTACTTTCAGGGGAAATTTTTCCCTCAAATATATGCCTTGTATTTCTATTAAAGTCACTTAACATCTGATAAAATAAGCTATCATACCCATAGCTTAAAAGATATTTTCACTCTTAAAATTCCAGGCCTTGCTGTATACATGCTTTCTCTTTTTTAAAACTCCTCTATTATATTCTTTGCTCACCATCCATTATTTATCTCTGTAAAAAATTTCAGTTTCTCCAACTTAATTTATCTAGGTTTTGCCATATCAGTATTAGGCATATATGAATTGCCACATTTCTTTGTTTTCCCCCATTCTTTCCAGTTAATAGTATTATTTCCTGTTACAAAAGGCAAAACATACTTAAAGCTATGTTTGCTGCCATTGAAACCTCCACATCCTGGCTTGCTCATAGATGTTGAACAGTTATTTATATATTTATTTATTTCATGAATGCAAATCTGCAAAGCCAAGCAATGGTCTCCTTCCTTATACAGTTATTCATTTATAGTTATTCAACAGCCTCCTTTAAATCTGCCAGAGTCTATGAGCTGGCTGTGATTGTGATTAGGTCTCCTGAAAGCTGTTCAAGGCCTCACAGACATTGGATTTGCAATGTCTAAGGGAAGGATATTGTGAGAAATGAAATTAAGTGATTTTCCCCCTTTGCTATACTGAATCAGTGTCCCTGACCTGGAGTTAGTAATTACTGTTCTGTTGGAAAACAACACTTTCCAAATATGGCATTGAACCAAGGCCCCTTAGTCTTTAAAAATCCCTGAATGCTTTTCATACTATTCTTGGTTCATGTATTGTCATCACTACCAATGGTTCTGCAGCTGGAATATACTGCTAGCTGTTCTATAGATGCATAAACCGAATAGATCAAACAGATTTCTAATAGCAGATTGACCGTAGACTGGTACCAGAAATTAAACACAGTAATAACAAATGCATATGTTCATCCTAATACAAATAAAAAGCACAGTAGTAGGACAAGAAGATACTACTTATACAGCTTATTTTTGTTCATAAAATGTGGACAATTATATTCAGCCTATATAATTTACACCTGCACTTTCATCTGAATATAATTCTTTTTCATTTTGTGTGTTAAAAAGGGATAGATTTTCTTTAAAATCTTATGTTTAAATAACAATGCTAAAGGCTTTCTACTTTCTGCTCTCCTTATTTTTTTACTTGGCTGTTTGTTTGTTTGTTTGTTTGTTTGTATAATTCCTAATAGATTTGAAACAATTCATCAAATTCCCTCACAGAAGAATAAAAACCTGAAAAAGGAAGGAAAATTCAGTATGTTTAACCAAGTTTTCTCCTGCAAAAAAAAGAAAGATGATCAGAAAACAAACCAGAAAGACAGAAATAGAGACCGATATCAAAGAGAAGAAACATCAGAAGTTGATGATATCATCACCACATTTGATTGCATTATGGAAACAAACTGCAAAGATTTCTCTGAGGAATGTGTGGCCACTGCTGACTTCAAAAGGAGAAGCACAGACACCCAAAAGTACCTCATGTCAGAGAAGAAGCAGCTGGAGTGTAGTGCACTACCACCAATCAGAACACAAAGTCTCCCCCCCATTACAACCAGCAGCTCTTTTTTAACAACTTCTCAGAGTACAACTTCAAGTGTCTCCTTGAGCACTAATACCTACCATTTTTCACATAGGTCTCAGAAAAGTAGAAGTGAACATGACCTGTTAGATCACAGAACTGGCTGCCAGACTCTATTAGACAACCCTTGGAGCACAGATTCTAACCAAATACTCTCATATAAAGTCTGTACTACAACTCCTTCAGATAAGATGATAAATGCTTTGAACTCTGAAAGATCCAACCATATGCTTTTGTGTCCTCCTCACTTACCCTCCCTGCCTAGTTCTCCATCAGGTAATTTCTTTGTTCTATATCTCCCATATATTCTCTAATCTCTACAAACTTGACAGGTTGAAAAGGGCCACATTGGAGAAACAGGTAAGATTGAGTTCTGATATTTACTATTTTTTAATTTTTGTTTACTCTTCCTCTATGTAATAGGACTCATCTCATGTGTGTGCAGGACACCAGATGGCTAATGAATCAAAGGGACTTGTGTATAAGATGAGACTCATACCTTCAGGAGAAAGAGGTAGCCTTGTTAGTCTGAAGTCAGGCAGAAGACAAATTCCCTTAGACCTGCATGTGTGTGTCAGATGCCATTAAGCAGTTATCTGCAGACCCAGCAGCAGAAATATAGTTGCTCAGGAGATTGTCACACACACAAAAGAGTCAGTTCAGTGGGGCTTATTTCCTGAGTGGCAAGGCTTGACCACCCTTACATCAAGATGTCTCTGCTTAGATGGTTTTTCCCCACATAGCTCTCAGTGATTTCTCCCACTACATGAACTCCAAATTTCAGGTAAATTAGCAAGGAGTGTTCTCTTGTCATTGCTTCCAGACTAAATCCTGCTGGGTCCAGTTCACATAACCCATGTGAAACAAATCTTGCAGGTTTTCTGCAGCCCATATGTAAATAACTACAAAGGAAACTGAGAAATGATTTAGGGGTATTCAAGTGGTTATTTCTGACATGAATGAGCTAAAATTGAGCACAGGAAAACTGAGTTGAAATACTGGAAATATTTCTCAGTGGAATTCTCATTTAGACCGTAGAATACATTTTCTGCGTTCCATCACTTAAAACTAGATTGTGTCTTTTCTGAAGACTGTAGAGCCAGGGAGCTCAACCCCAAGCCAACAGGCCAAACTGCCTACAGGGCTCCTCATAGGTAGAGAAATTTGGCAGCAGGAGAGTGGTAGTAATTAGGCAATTAACACTGACACTGTTCTCCTGCTGCCAAATTTCCACGCCCTTGGATTGGGGCTGGGCCATTGCTGCATGGCCATATCAGCCCAGCCCAGGCCTAAGCCATTGCCACCTCGCTGAATCTGGCTGTGGCTGCACCTGTCCCTCACACCAGATTGGCTCCCCTCTGGGCCCACCCCATGCACCAGATTTGCCCCCAAGTGTACCCACCCTCAGGGTTGGATCAGGCCAACCGGCCAGATCCAGTCCTGGAAGGGACCTGGCACCACCCCTCTGGCCTGTGGGCAAAAAGGTCAGGTACCACTGCTATAGAGTATTGGAGACCTAATTCCTAGTTTACACTGGGTGATGGACAGCATCACCTAGTTGCTTTCTTTCCATGAATCTTCTATGAATTAAGGCTCAGTCTTCTAAATGAGTCCACTTAGATGGACTCCTGAACTGACTTGAAGGTCCACCGACTTCAATGGGACTTAGTATCAGCACAAAGATCTATTTTGCAGGGTCATTATACAACTTGTGTAATCTATAGGAGATAGTTTGTCCACTGTAGGGGGAGCTTCCTTCGTGTGACGTAGAGAAAAATTCGTCCATCTACCACAAATGGTTTATAACTTACCATCCAGAGTATTTTTAATTGCAATTACAAAATAAACTTATTAAATAAAAAATGTGTGAGCACCATGATGATTCAGAAAACAGTATACAAGCTGAGTTGACCTTGAACAAAGAAAACTTTCCAAAAATTACCAGATTATCCCAGCTGGCATAAAGGGCCTGCATGGAAATGATTCAGATAACACTATGTAAGCAGAGAGCAAACAGTTTGATGGGAATGTGTCACCCAGAGATTATCTTACATTTTTCTAATAAAAGAGCTGCTGATTTCCAGGCTTAGTTGTTTGCCCTAATTAAATATGTCTGCTGCTGTAATTAAAGCCACCTGTGAAGTAGCACTGAATTCACTTCATGAACTTCAGAGCCGTTGACTTAGCTGCAGGATTTTTACCCTCAGAAGTTTTCATGGCATTGCCCTGCCAGCGGGTTTTTAAGAGTTCAGAAGTGAAATAAGACTCTGCATTGGAGAGCCAGGTTGGATAGGAAGATCCCTTTCAGAAAGCCTTACTTGGTCTTTGAGCTGCCAATGAGAAAGTGATATCTGGTCTTTTAGATATGATTACATGTTAATATTCTTTTCTTGTTTTTTCCTGTTTTTAGTCATGACTACAGGCTACATGTAATTTCCTAACCGCTGGAAATATAGGACTGAATTCTGGCTATAAGTAATGTTGAGGCTTTTCAGTGAAATCATTTTCTCATCTGAAATTCGACATGTAATGCCTTATATGGATCTGTCTTTTCTAAAACCCACAGCTATATTTTTGTGCTAATGCTATTGAGACTTGTAGCATCAAAGTGGGGATTTTTCGGTATATTTTTGTGTGCTCTTGGAAATGAAAGCTCAGTCAATTTGTCAACTGAAACCTGACACACATTCAAGGAGCAGAATCTGGTGTGGGTGGCCATCAGGTTTACCATACATCATAATGCTGGCATTGTCTCAATGTATGTCCTGAGTGGAACCAGAATGATTTAACGATACCAAAGAGCTTTGGCAATATTGCAGAAGAAATTCTTGCCAGCTGAAATACTGAGCAGTTTTCTTTAATTGCCCTTGCTGTCATGTGCCTAAGGCATAGACAGATGTAAAAATTGTACTGCTATCAAAGAATACAAAGATACATAATTATAATGCAACTGTTACATCTGCCTGATTCTGTAAGAATACATGTGTGCTAAAACCACTACAATTTTAACCCTGTTTCATTTAGAGTCAAAGGGCAATTTCATTCCCTTGTACTGCTGCAGGATCATGCACATGTAAAAGAGTGTTATAGATTTTATGTGTTCCAGAGGAGCAGCTTCCCTTCCCCTTTTAAAACAGCCATCCATACCCTTAGCAAAGCATACACCCTAATCCACTTTGTGACGTGGAAAGGGGGAAAAGTATAGAAACTCCAAGCAATATGGGTAATGGCCCTGTTTGAAGTGGAGAAGCAGCTGCACATGTTTCTCAACACTGTGTAACCACCTGCAGCCCTGCGTTCCTATTCAAACATTTTTATTTTTAGATTGCTAATCTCTCAGGCCCAGTGTTCTGCCTTATTATGTTTGTACAGTACCCAGGACTTTTTAGGTGCTGTAGTAGGTAACATAAAACAATGGACTATTTTTTTTTTATCTTGGTACACACAGTGCTTTATAATCAAATAGAGAATGCATCTTGGCAGAGAGGGATGCTGGGCAAGAGCTGATTTATGTGGCAGATCCTGCTTTGAAAGTGAAGGGGGAATTTAGAGTGCCATATTCATCATAAGTTACTTCTGTTCCACATGAAAGCCCATGGGAGGCATCACATATCCAGCTGCTAAAAGAAAGCTAAGAACTAGCTACAGAGCCAGCTATAATATGAATATCAATAAATAAAATGCAAGCAAAGCTGACATGTTGTAATCAAGACTGTACTTCCTTGCCAGCCTATACAGAAAACAAATGGCACTTGAAAATGCACCTTGGGCCCAAAGGAAATATCTGGGAAAGAGAATCATTTATTTCTACTTCATTTCAGAACTTCTGACCCACAAGAAGGCATTCACATTAGAACCCATCATTTCATTTGGAAGCCATTATGTCTCAACTTTTCCCTCTCTTCTGAGATACTAAAATTCCATCATTTATGCCAGTGGTGCCCAACCATTTGGCCATGCAGGTCGAATTAGTGGTGCTGGGTGGGTCTGTGAGCTGAATCCAGTCTGTTGGCCCAAACCAGTGCAAACTGGGCTGGAGCCCAATCCAGTGGGAGTTGGATTGGGCTCCAGTCCCATACATTATATTGCAGCTACAGCCTTGGCCTGCCATCCCAACCCCAGTCCTGCATACACTGGATTGGGTCCCACTGCCTCAGCCCCAGTCCCAGCCCCATGCATATTGGATTGGGCTCTCTGCTCCAGCCCTTGCCCCAGCTCTGTCTGCATATGCTAAATTGAACACCACTGCCTCAACCCCAGCAACACATTCCCCAGATCAGGCCCCACCACCCTAGGTTCAACCTTGTGGATGCCAGACCAGGCCCACTGCCTGGGCCCTGGGTCCCTGCACATTGCCAGGATCCTATGTGCAGGGTCATGTCATCTGGCCCACAGGGCTTGAAAATTTGGTGGTGCAGGAGCAGTGGCAGCATAAATTGCCGCTGCTCCCTTCCCTAACCAAATTTCCAGATCCTTGAAGAGCCCTATGGGCCAGATCACCTGGCTCCATAGGTCAGATCTTGCCTGCAGGTTGAGGGTTGAGCAGCCCTAATCTAAGTCATATGTGTATGTTAAACCAAGTATAACCAACAGTTTCCAGTATAAAGCATCACAGTACAACAGGTAGTGCTGGAATACCATAATGAAAGCAGAGGACCTGATTCTCTGCTATCTTGAAGCTTCCTCTATTCATTTTTCTTGGTGCAGAATGATTGCAAATTGGGAGTAAAATAGGGACAGCGTATTTACTCAAATTGCATTCACTTTCTAGAAGGTTAAGGACTAAATAGAGTGCAAAATAAAACCCTTGCAGAGCTCGTTGCATTCACTCTCCCAACAGAGTGTAAATTCTCTAATCTGTATGAGTGTTTTTCAAGTTTTAGCAAAACAAAGCAGCTTTGGTCTTTGAGAAATCAGTAGATAGATTGTCTTTGCCATCACTGGGCTTTGGATCAAACCCTTTTAAGATCAAGCCAAGTGAAGTGAATTGTGGTTATCTACATAAGGGACAGTAATTCAGAGATTTTTTCCCCAGAGGTATCTTCAGAGTTCAAGTTAATGGAGGTCAGTGCAAGAGTGCAATCTTTGCTTCCTTACATGGTAAAATAAGAGTGATGTTCTGACCATGGTCATCCAGGCATTATGCGAGGCAAGGATTTCTTAGGGTGATATCTCTTAGTATCTGACTTGTTCTGATCAGACCTGAGGAAGAATGTCTTCCATTCAAAAGTTTGTCTAACTCTATCCCAACTATGCAGTTGATCCAATAAAAATATCGCCCTAAGAAATCCTTGCTTCTTGCACTTCCTTACATGGGTATTTGACAGCACCTTATCTATTTCTATGCTTATTTGAAGATTGCACAGTAAGCTACATAGAAAGTTGCCCTAGTTAGCAACTAGTTTAGCATCTTTAATTTAAAATCCTTGTGCTTTCTGCACAGTTGCTACTTTTTCTGTCTATCATTTCTCACTTACCTATAGCTTTTTCTCCACAGGTTGATCTTGCACAGTATAGCAACACATAGGTGTATTTGAGGACCACCCAGCTTATTCCCAAGGCAGTTCACATTAGCACTGTGTTCTCTACTTCCCAAGATGGTGTTTCATCAAATTCTACAGAAACCTTCCCTCTTTCCTGCATGTCAACTGAAAATATGATGTTAGCTTGGGGTGGATATTGGCTAGGCAGACTACAGTCCTGCAGGACAGCTAGAGACACGTAATAAAGTCTACTAGTGGCCTGGGGACCTCAGGAGACTGAAGCAGAAGAACTTCAGGAGAATCCAGAGAGGTTTTAGAGAGGGATTAATGTTTGGGATATGTGGGTTGTATTTTCTTCTATCCAGAGGTTTGTATAGTGAAATAGCTACAAGCAAATTACCAGAATTTTCAGTGTTCCCAGATTAGGAATGCTATTCATTTTCAACATCTTTAAGATGGTTAGATATTCTTTTGTAACTCTACTATTCTATATTGTTCATCTAGTGTAGAATACAGTTAGCATTTCAGGACTAAATTTTGCTCTAATACATACCAGGGCAATGCCAAAAATTTGACCTTTCATTATATTCATTATATACCTTTCATTTCCCAGCATATATTCTTGTTGGTCAGAAGGGAATTTTACTTTGATTAGCAGATTTTAAGGACACATATCATACTTGGCTTGTTTTGTCCTTCCAGTGCCCATGTTTATTATTTGAACAAGTGTCAGCCAAAAGCTCCAGCCAGGCCCAAGTCCTATCATGTTAGGTATTATTCCAGCACTAAAGAAGCCATAGTCCCTGGCCAAAAGAGTTTACCAGCTAAGGCCCAGATTTTGCAGTCCGATCTACATGGATAAACGATAGTCACAAGCTCATAAGGTTGTTGTGTGCACTACTTAATGACCCTAAGTCATTTTAACAAATGACAGTAACTAAATCAGCCATTCTCTACTACCATCTGTCTAGCCATTTTTAACTAGTGATTTATGAGGCTGAGGTACCAGGACACATACTTTCTTAATATTAACAAAAGAATTTTCATTCTACTAGCCAGCAGAATGTTGTTGTATGCAGTATTATTTCTAAGTGTGTGTTTGCTGATATATATAAGTACATTTCTTTTTACAGGGAAAAGTTTTCAACAGATGTCCCTAGAACTACCCAAAGTAAAAGACCTTACTCCTGTACGGAACAATCTAGCTCCCATACCTGACCACTGTGTTTGGAAAAGTAAGTACAGTCATATAAAATACTCTACTGCACCTGCTGAATCTATAGAACACTGGCATCAGGGTTCTTTTCTCATTTCACTTTCATATGTGTATTTCTTATATGTGGCCTACCCACAGTCATTCACTGAAGCAAACAGGAGAGTTTACTTGCTAGATTAAAAGGATCTGGACGTGTCCAGCCTCCATCAGGAGAGCATGTGCATTTTATGACTTGAAGTAGCTATTCCTAGATATTCTAAAGGTGGCAGCTATGCTGTAGTTAGAGCCTGTAGTGCCTTGAAGTTTGAAGCAGTCACACCTTAAGGCTAAAAACCTTCTCTGACTGTCCCCACCTGCACAGCTATCACTTGCCACTAGAGGGCTGGCAAGCAGGGTCCTGACAGCTGTGAGTTGCTCACCTACATGGCTGGTGAGCCAGGACAGGCTTCTATCCCTCCTTTTTGGGTGGGGAGGGGTAACAGCTGGGTTTTGGGGGGCATGAAGCTGAGAGACAGAGAGTTAATGGAATGGGGTGGATAATGAAATGGGAGGTAGAAAGGAAATGGGGGTGGGGGAAGAGTGGTGAAATGAAGAGAGTCAACCACTGAAAGATAAAATAAAAATAAGTTAAAAAATCAGAACTCAAAAATAAATAAAGAGGAGGTAAATTAAGGAAGGTCTCATGTTTTAATAAATTGGGATTTGAGATTGGGATGTGTGGAGTACTAGTCATGCTTCCTGGGGCGGCTGGGAGGTGGGAGCAGTGAGGGAAGGCACTTTTGGGGAGCTACTGCCCATGCCCTTGGAAGAAAGCCCCAGTTCATGGGGAACTGATCCAGCCCCCTAACTTGTTCCTCCTTAGCCCCTTACACCCCACTCCTGGACCCATCCATACCCTGTGACCTGGCTAGCTGGCATGTGCTCTGAAGGCTGTTTGGGTTGCACCCCTGTGGGGGAAGGTCCCACTTCTGGGGGTGGGAAGGGAAATTGCCTTGGTGCCAGAACTGCCTCCTGGGCAGTAAAGTTCAGGTGGTGGAAAGTTAGTTCACACAGAACAGGAGGGTGGGGGAGGGAACAGTAAATCCTGGGATGCTGAAGGACTGCCACTTGTGCAGTTCATCTGTGGGTAGTGGCCACACATTAATGAAACAAGAACTGGGTAACGCGGGTCAGAGATAAACTTGCCCTAGAGTTGCATAACTTTTAAGTTGCCTAAAGTGTGCTTAAAACTATTTGTCATGTGTTAATGTGTGGACAATCCAGGGGTTAAGAGCTCCAGGAGCTGCCTAAAATTAATGTGTAACAAGATCCTAAGATAAGAATGTTGTCACTGGAGACTGGTGACACACTTGCCCAGAGCACTGAGGAATCAATATATGAGGTACAAGATAAAATTAAGGTCCTACTAAAGACAATAAAGACTATATGCATTATAGTCTATATGCAGTAAAGATTATATTTGTATGTCATTGTCTTTGGTCATAGAAGGTACAAAAATTTGATCTGGAACCTTAAGTACCCACCAAAAGCTATAAAACTTCAACAACCTATTTGGAGTTGAAAGGGTAGGAGCTAAGAAAGGGAAGTTATCTTTGCTCTCTTGCTGTGACTGCACTCCATTCTTACAGTGGTGATGTGTATTAGTGTCTTCTGCTCAAGTAAAGGGAAGCAGGAAGACAGTGGTAGTTTTTCTCACTATAGACTGCCAGCCAGCTCCTCTTCCTTCCTAAAAGAGCTGTTGCAAGAACACCAAGAGCCTGTCCCTGCCCTATTCATCAGCACTAGCAAAAAAGCATCTGGAAGCTGTCAAGAGGAAGAAGTGTCCCAGTGAGAAGTGAGCTTCATCAAGAAGTCTCAGTGTTAACTAGTGACAAGGACACGGCCAGATGCTATGTGGTGCTCTCATGCTGAAGGATGAGATGTGTGATTTTACTAACAGTTTTCACTCTGAGCAATTTCCTGTGCTCACATTTCTGTGCTCATATAATTATAAACTGTGAACCACTAAATATATTCTGTGGTTTTGCCACCTACTAAGGCACAGTTTAGTGAGGTCCTATAGCATTCACACATTGGAGTTAAACAGAAGGTTTCTTGCCTTTGGTGGTCTGCATTTCTGAAGATGAAGTTGATGACATTGCTAAAAACTGAACAGTCAGTTTCAGACATTAATGGTCTTACTAGCATGTGTAAGGGAAACACAGAACCCTGAATGTTGCTGTTATCTTAAAAGAGGAACTAATATTGACCTCTTTTATTGCAAAGTAAAGACTTGAGGAATGCTGAAGTGCTAAAGGCTGCATTCTCCAGAAAGATCTCTGTTTTCAAAATCTGAGCTCTAAGTTTTCCCTTTAAATTAAACCGTGCTGCTAAATGTTTGCTATTCCCAGTTAAAGTCCTATTGTAGGGGCAGCTGTCAGAGCAGGATTTCATAATCACTGATATTTTTGTGTAGACTTAATAATTCATACAATCACTCAGGGTTTTAATTCTAGCCACTGCCTGCAATTCACAAAGGCCTTTTCTCCTTCAAGCAGCAAAATATTAACTCAATTGGCCTTTAGAAATAGCAGCCTAAGAGATTAATGCAATATTCTCCCCATCATTGCTTGGGCACCTTCCTCTGCAAAAAAAAAAAATAACAGGGGTTGCAAAACCATTTACATTGTTCATTTGCAACCAAACTCTTTAAAATGGTACGACTAGACTCAGATTGTACCCATGTAAATTCTCACTGTTGTTAACCCAAATAAGTGACAGAGTAATAACATTTGTATTTGAATAGAAAAGCTGATATTAGAGGCACTTTTTGAGAAATTATTCGAAATTGAGCATTAGACACAGAGTTCAAAGAATGAAAGAAAACAATAAAAAACAGTGTCATGAACCCCACCATTGGCTGCGGGGGGAGGACGGTTTGTGTGGCATCATGTAGATTTTCTAATGTTTATTCCACTGATATGGCATGTGTTGTCTCATTGTACTGTATGAGCGTGTCCATCTATCTATCTATCTATCTATCTATCTATCTATCTAAATCAGGGACGGGCAAAATACGGCCCATTGGCCAGATCTGGCCCACAAGGCCATTCTATCTGGCTCGCAGGGCCCCTAAAAATTTAGAAAATTAATATTTCTCTGTCTTTGGTTCTTGTAAAAAATGACAGGACCCAGGGGCAGTAGGACCCAAGGGAAGCCCGGCAGGCTTCTGCAACTGCAGGGCCCCCCCAGCCCCGCCCCCCCCAGCTGGAAGCCCCAGCAGGGGCTTCTGGCCTGGGACCACATGGCTGCCCCACGCTGGAACCTCAGGTAAGGGAAGACAGGGGGGGAAGGCAGGGAAGGAGCCCAGGCAAAAGTGGCCCAGGGAAAAGTGGCCCTTCCCCCACCCCATGGCTGGCGCTAGGGCCGTCCCTGCTACACCGGCTCGCAGCCCGTGTAGGGCTGTCCTGAACAGGCACAGGCAGCCCCATGCGGGCTGCAAGCATCTGTAGCGCGGGGCGCCAGCCACAGGGCAGGCAAGGGGCTGCTTTTCCCACACTCAGCACCAGTTTGTAACCCGGCTCCGCTGCCAGCCTGGGCCCCACGGCAGCTCCGGGCTTGCCCATCGGGGCTGTGCACGGTGGCAGCACCTGTGGCCCCCCCACTTGCTGCACCGGGCAGTGTTTGAGTAGGGGGTACATGGCAGGATGCCCTGCTTGTGCCCCTTGCCCCCCAGCCTTGCTGCCCCTGCCCCCCAGCCCTGCTGCCCTGTGT